AATAATTATTAATAATATTATAAATATTAATTTTTTCAGTGCATGTGCCATGGAGCTATTCAGTTTAAGACAAGTGTAAGACTGCCGGGATACTTCGATATAATTAAACGCAGAGCCAAATATTATTATCGACTAGGCGAAAAAGAAGGAAACGAAGAAGAATTAAATGATTTATGGTATGATTGACGAATATTTATGTGAACTATATAATATAGATTTATACGATATATTTAATATAAATGACTTTTTCGATAATTATAAAAATGTAAAAGAGGAGATCGAAGAAGAAGAGTGGTAAAATAAAAGAAATTTTTATAATATAAAAATACACGTGTGTATTCATACACACATAAGCAAAAGATTTGCGAAGAATCTCTATGCTGTATTGTTATCCTTGGCAGTTTTTACGAATTTTGTTTTACAAAGTCCATTAATCTTGCAATTTTCTCTTGTGTTTTCATACAGATTACTTAATCTTAAAATTTTCAAAAATATGTAACAAATATTTTATTAATTAAATTTATGCAAGAAGATTTAATATAACTTGCCCAAGGCTAGCTTGTTCCTTACCTTCACGTGGCTAGCTCCTTCGGAGCAACAATTTTCTTTGAAGACAGACCGACCAGTCAATCTCTCATATTGTTACATGACACGACTAGCCTTTGATCCTCAAGAACTCATGCCTTTTCCACGTCCCTTCATAAATTTTATTGCTCATCAACTTTAACTAATCCTAACGAAAAGTTGAAATCTTTTACTGCCATAGGTACCCCATCTATTACAATATTTATTCTTGAGATGCTGTAAAGCATCCCTAAAACCACACCTCCGAAAATTTTAGCAACAAAGTCCTATTGCCCATATTGGACATAAACCTCAGATCTCTGACGCAACTTCCAAAACCCCCACCTTCTCAACCGAGGTGACGATTTGACTAAGCCGAAAAGGCTAGGACACTTCTCGTCAGACCAACAGCCAAAGTAGAAGCTCCTCTTCAGTACTCCTTCAGGGTCTTTCTAACTATCTAGCCTACTAGTGGCTTAGACAGATTAGTGTTCCTCCAGTCTTTAATTATTCTGTGCAACGATCTCGTGTATTTTTAGTCCATTGTGAGCAATCCAGCTGAAATCAGCTCCTAATTCTTGGCGCAGAACTTGGGTCATCCACCCCCACAGACCTGCAACAATTACTCTCTTCATCTTCGACACATATCATAGAAGCAGCAGTAAGTTATTTATAATTTCTTTTGCCTGATTGACCTCTTTCTTTCATTTTTTTTCTTTTCTTCTCTCTCTCTTTTCTTTTCCTTTCCTTTTTCTTGCTTTTTCTATCCCCCTTGGCATTCCTACTTAATCGTGAAATCTGGTTTCAGTGGCCCAATCTTTTCCATCACAGTCGAACATAACGAATACGGAATTTTGCTTCCTGAATCTCCCCCTGGATGTCCACTTCCTATCTCTTACTCTCCGACATCCTTGAGTCCCATAGACGACCGATCTCCTCTACTTTGGAGTCCTTCTCCGATAGCTTCTCCTCCACCTCACCTCCACGAGGCGTACACGTGGTTTCCACTCAGCCTCACTCCACGGCCTCATACCCAGTCACTCTTCCCCCTCGGAAGCATTATCACCGCGATCTTCCTCTTCATCTCGTGCTTCTCCGTCATCGGATCTTCCTGTATCAGAATATTCTTCAGGATAACCAAGAACCGCCGTTCAAACCGCGATTGTATATATATACGTATATAAATGTACATATTATAAAACCTCATGAATTCCAACGGACATACTTCATTATCAACTTCCGCGTAGCTATCAATAAAATGAGCAATTTGTAATTATAACGCAATCACGTTTTCCTACTAATTATTCTCAATAAAATTTCTCCCTTCTCTCAACCGTCGCTCACGGTCCTATCCCAGGTAAAAAGATTCAGTTCCTTGACCTAAATAAAGGACCACCGACATACCGCCAGATAAAGGGGTCATTCCGATCCTTGATCTGCACCGCAGACTTGCGAGTACGTCGAAGCTTGCGAAAGCAAGCGTCAAGTTGCGTTCCTCCTCCAGGACGTAACAGAAATGTATATCATATTACATATCGCATTATATTATATGAATTATATATGCGTATATCATATTATACATTATAACCTCCTTTATATTCATTTATTATAATAATTCAGAAAAAAAAGAAAAAAAGGAAAATAATGATAGCAATGAATTTCCTTTATTATCTATTTCATACTAGTTCAATATACTTTCTTTTATTCCTATAATATATACACAGAAGAACGAAAGAAAGAAGGAAGGGATTTTAGTGGTCGCCTTCTCTTTCCTCCTTCTAAACTAACACGAATTATTATAATAATTATTAAGTTCTTTAAAATTATAGCTACCATGTGATCTATTAAGTATTGCTTCAATCTCCTCGAAGTATTTTTTCAGATTATTTTATAGCATATTTAAAGAGACAACCTAACAGGCAACCTAACTACGGAAAGGAATAACTATACTGCAACCCGAAATATGAGCCACCTGACTAAAAGGAAAAGAGGATCCGTAGTCCGCAACCCTGCGCTGTCTGGCAATAAAACAAAACACCTGCGAAAACCTAAGGACTATGTCAACTACCAAATAAATATTTTAACCAAATAAATATTTTAACTGCGAAATCGAATCGGCTATATTACAAACTACACTTAATTACATACGATTAATCCGATTATAGTTTATATAGATTATATAGTTTAGATAGTTTATATAGATTATAATAGTGTGTTACGTCCTGCGGACTCCGCGTACTTTGAATTTGTTGTCAAGTAGAGCGGATTGCATTTTATATTATACAACCAAATATTCATATTCCGCGACCCTCCGAGAACAGTGACGTCACACACACACAGATTTCTCTTTCTTTTTTCTCTGCTTTAATCACCGGAGTTTCCTCTATCTCCGTCGGAAAAGATCCGCTGAGTCATTTTGGCCATATATCTCCTCTCCAAATAACCTTAAATAACTTCCTGTTCGAAGCAACAATTTTCTTTGAAAACGGACCGACCAGACAATCTTTCATGCTATTATGTGATATTACTAACCTTTGATCTTCGGAAACTCATGCGTTTCCCACGTTATTCATAAATTTTTATCGCGCACAATCTCTGACTAGCCCTAGCGGAACCTTGAAATCTTTTACTGTCATAGATACCCGATCCTTTATCATATTTATCTAAGAACCCTCTAAAAGTCCACCTCCGAAAAGTTTGCAACAAAATCCTATACCCATATTTGGACATAAACTTTGGAGCCTGACGCAGCTTCCAAAACCCCACCCTCTCGACCGAGGTGACGTTTTTAGTAAAATGAAAAGGCTATGCCACTTCTACTTCTCCTCTCGACTAACCCGCAGCCAGGACAGAGTCTTCTCGCCAACACCCCTTCAAGGTCTCTTAATAACCAAGCCTACTAGTGAGGCAGATAAGAGTTCTTCAGTTGTTGATTCTTCTGTGCAACGATTTCGTGCGTCCTTGAGACATTGCGAGAGACCCTGCTGAGACCAGTTTCCTGTTTTTCGCGCAAACTTGAGTCCATCCTCACAGACACCCCAGCAATTACACTTTTCATTGTCGACTCGCATCATAAAACCAGCAGTAAATTATTTATATTTTCTTTTGCCAAAATGACCTCTTTCTTTTTATTTTTTTTTATCTTTTCTTCTCTCTTTTCTTTGCCTTCCTTTTTCCTTCTTCTCCCTATTCCCCTTGGCATCCCTCCTTAATTGTTAAATCCGATTTCAGTGGCTCAATCTTCTCAATCACAGTCAGAGATAACCACCACGGAAAACTGTACAAACCGCGAGGATTTTGAAATCGCCTCTTTAGTACTTGTATTACAAGATCGTCCAGATTGCGTTATCCGCCATAACGAACCAAACATTTTAAGATCTGCGCATTTTCCTCTTATGTTGCTTCCTGACTCTCCCCCAGTAACTCCTTCTATCTCATACTCTCCAACGTCCTTGAGTCCAGTAGACGACCGTTCTGTCTCAAGCTCTCCTCTATCTTGGAGCCCATCCCCGACATCTTCCCCTCTAAGAGTACGATCACATGGTACGGAAATGAACATGCGGGACGGAGGATGCGTGATTCGAACAGCCAATCAACGCTTTCCCGTATTTTTCTAACTTTTCCCGCATACGTGCCATACTCATATAACCGTAAAGTTTGAATACATCAGAAAAAGTAATCGAAACTTCAACTAGAAAAGTTAGTTTTGATAATAAGAGTTATAATATAAACATGGAATTCATGGAGGATGAAAGTTTAATGCTTTGTGATGTAAGTATAAAGAAAAAGTGATATTATTTTGTTAATATTGAAATAAACAGTAAAATATTTTTTTTTCAAGCGTTACAAGTGCAAATATTGCAATTATTTTCTTCCAAAGAAAAATTTCATTGTAACAAATCACTCATGCTTTGCTGATATTGATATAACAAAAGAGAATATTTTTGTAGATGATGCAGGTGTTATATTTAGAGGTTAGTTTACATTCTTAACAATATTTATTTCTTATATAATATATAAGATATATAATAAGATATATAATATATTTCTTATATAATTTATATAAAAAAATGAATAGTAAATAATTGTTATTGTACTAATACAGCTTCAACAGAAAACTATGTGGAAGATCATTCAACAGGAAAAAAATGTGTTAAGAATAAACAGGACAAACTGTGGAGTGCATATGATGAAGTACTGATAGAAGCTGTACGAGCCAGGCCATGTTTATGGAATGTCACAATCCCTGTTAAGAAAAGAAGTCCTTTATCTGTCAAAGAAGCATGGTTGAAAATAAATTTTGAATTGGAAGGTAAATATTTTATGTAACCACAATTTTCATATCGGTTTCTATTTTTCTTTAAGGGGGGAACTTCATGTAAACATTTTTTTTTGCATTTTTTTTTATTGATTGAAAAATTTATTTACCATCTGAAGAATGTATTTCCAAAGTTTCAAAACCAAAATCAAATCCTAAAGGTCCCTAAGAAGTCATCAAAGTGATGCGCTCTAATGGTACGAAAAGCAGGTATATGAGCGCGCACGCTTTCCGGCCTTTACCTTTCGATTTCTTGTGCAAAAATACTTATTAGTTTGCTTTCTGAGTAGTAGATGGCACTTTTATTGTTCAGAAGAAAATATTGTAACTTATTCGACCTATATAATGTGTATAACCATAATATTTTGTTTCCAAACAAACAGCTGAGAGACAACTCACTAACAGTATATCGTTCTTTGCTGTGTCGCAGTCTTTAATTATCGCTTGTTTTATATTATTTACAAAAATGATGCGTAAAGTTACAAAGGATGAGCCAAACCGTCGTCTTAACCGGGCTCGTCATCGGCGATTTGAAGACAATCAGTTTACGAGTGTACCGAACGTGGAAGTCGATGAGGAAGTGAGCGAGGAAGCTAGCGCGTCTGCAAAAAAATTGAAGGCGTCAGCGGGAGATGTTATTGTAAACCCTAGCATGTGTTATCGAATTATTGAATTTATCAGTGTTTTCTCTGCTCTCGCTAATTTACTTGTCTGTAAAGTGTGCAAGCAAAAAGTTAAATTTGGACAATCAGGGGTGCGTTCCAAAATCCTACCTTAGTAACCTCGCTAGTTCTGGGAGTGGAAGGGATTGTGGTTAACCAAGGTAGTAGTCGTTTTGGAACGAACGTGGTACATACAACTATGGCGGAAAACAGAAAACGGGCTATATTGGGAGCTTTTGCTGTTAGTCAGCATTTTTGTAATATTTTAAAAGATATGGAAAGTGATAGTGATGGTGGAAGTGATGAAGATTTGGTATTTGAATTTATAAATATTGAGAGAAATCTAAGAATGCTTGGCAAAAGAAGGAAAGCAATTCGTGTGGAAGGTTTTGTAGAATTTATAATACCAAGATTCCGTGGAAAACAGTTCAAAGAACATTTTAGAATCAAACCAGCAGTTTTTGATTACGTTGAAAATATATTAGGAAATATGTTACTAAAGCAAGAAGCTACTGGTCGCTCAACAATATCAATTCGGAAACAATTATTAGCTACTCTTTGGCTATTGGCTACTCCAGATTCCTATAGGTAAATATTGGTTTTGAATTTTATTATTTTATATTTTATTTATATCTTTTATTGTTGTATACATTTTTTACTATTTTTGTTGTTTTAGATCTATTGGAGTTAAGTTTGATTTGGGAAAATCATCACTCTCTCATTGCGTTAGAAGAGTGGTGAAAGCTTTAAATACATTATCAGCTGAGATTATATCTTGGCCAAAAGACGATAATTTATTAAATACAAAAGCCGCATTCCAAAAAATTGCAAGACTTCCAAGTGTTATTGGAGCTATAGATGGCTCACATATTGAAATTCCTGCCCCGAAAGTAAGTATAATTTTTTATATATCATTTTGGCTCGGTATATATATATATTTTTTTAATATTATTTTCAATTTTTAGGTTGACCCTGAAGCATATATTACACGCAAATGCAGATACGCAGTTATTTTGCAGGCAGTATGCGATGCAGATCTACGATTCATTGATTGCTTCACAGGATATCCTGGGTCTGTGGGAGATATGCGGGTATTTAGAAATAGTGATCTATGGCATGCTGTCCGTAGGAATAGGAACAACTTCTTCCCAGGTGAAGAGTTCATCGTAGGCGACAAGGCTTATCCTGTTTTAGGATGGTGTTTGCCTCCATATAAAGACAATGGTCATCTTACGAGGGTAAGAAAACGGAAAAGTAACTAAAATTGTTTTTAAAAATATTTTGTCAGCTGTTCTTTAATCATTTATTATATTTTCATTTTGCTTCAGGTACAAAAAAATTTCAACAAACATTGTACTGCAGCTAGACAAGTCATTGAGCGAGCTTTCTCCCTGTTGAAAGGCAGATTCCGACGATTGAAATATTTATATATGAATCGCGTAGATTTGATTCCAGAAACCATTATAGCGTGTTGCGTTCTTCACAATATATGTATTAACAATGTAGACGAAGATATTGATGATTATATCTTAGAAGACGAAGCAGTAAATAATGAAATTTTCATGCAAGATAATAATGAGAGATACAATGAGGAAGAAGACATGGAAGGAATTAATAAAAGAGATATTATAGCTGAAATATTACCTGTGTTGGATTAAAATATTAAATAATTACTAAACATTGTAAAAAATATATAACTTTAATATATATATATTTTTTTACATTGCAATACTTCAGATAATAAAAGAATACTAATCTATTTAAACGTTTTATTATTATTATAGAAATAGTTATAGACAATATTAGAATATATTTAAGTAACAAGGAATGAATATATAATAACAACGAAATATACTGTTTAGAAGAATGCTCTATATAAACTATAACATCAAATACTTCCTTAGTTAAAGTTACTAGACAAAAAATAGAACTATTAAAGATTGCTGATGTGTAATAAACAAATTGCGACAACTTAAACATGCATTTTTCCTTCCAAGTATTATTTCCACTCACATATGATAAACTAAACATACATGTAAAATTTATAATAAACAAAACCTACAATAACAAATCAATCTGGCAATTTACACCTTTGAAAAAATATATATTGTATTAACTAACTCTTATTCTCTCTTATTCTCTTATTCTATATAGCATAAAATCTAGATAAGATTTGATCACAGTCAAACAAATATCAATATGAGCAACATAATACCTTATCGTAAAAATAAAATTATTTAAACAAAACTAAAAAAAAATAATGCTTTTAATTCTGAATGACGTGTACTTAATAAAAAAATATATCTTGGAAAAAAATTTAAACAGTTTACAATTTATCAATTAATTTTTCCATCGTATCACAGAACGATTTCGTTGCATTTTCTATAGCGGCTACTCTCTCAGCATGCCGCTGTTCACGTCGATCCTTCTGTTCCTTAATATGTAGAATAAATTTATCTGACCACGAAGATAATTGACGTTCGACTTTACTTTTCTTCCGAATACGTTGATCATCATCTGTTGTATTATCTTCTAAAGATGAAAGTGTAATTTCATCTTCAATATTCTTTCTCATATTTGATGCAATAGCAATAGGATTCACGTTGGGTTTGTTTCCATATAACTTGTCCATTTCATCATAGTATCGGTAAGTTTTACGTTCAGCTCCTGTTTGTTTGTTATAATCCTTGACTCGCATGTAGTGTTTTCTCATATTTATCCATTTATCTTTTATTTGTGTCCTTGTAAAATTATATTTTTCACTTTTCATTTTATTTCCAATTTTATCCCATACTGAATTGTTTTTAATAGAAGTACTCTTAAAATCATCTTGATGATCTTTATACAAAGTAAACAGGAGTTTAACAGCTTTATCGTTCCATACAGCTGGAAAGCAAAATAAATATTTAAATAAATCATAATAAAATATTTAAATTATGGCTGAAACAGAAATCTTAGCAGCTACTGATAGAAATCTTACTGATTTATAAATCTAATTCATATATACTTCTAGATATTACATAAATCTAAAAGTATTTATCAACCAAATCCAATAATCACTTATCACTTACCAATCGCTGATTTCTGCTCATCACAGCCAATATTATATTCTTGCTTCTTCGATGTATCTGAACACAAATTTAATAAATCAGTGTTACTATTTTCATTAGCATTTGAATCCCAAACTGAAACTAAAACAATTATTTTACGAATAATATTTACATAATTTCATATATAAAAATTGATGTCATTTCAAAAATAAATAATAAACTATTAATATTACCTAAGTTATTTATTTGCATTCTCTCTTCATCCTTCAATCCCCCAGTTCCATTTGTTAAGGAAAGGCCAAAAAATGATACCACCTTTGATGATAACGGCAATTCAGAAAGTAGTTCACCTTAAATATATATATATACAAGTAAAATAAATTCTAAAATGAAAAAAATTACAAATCTTTTTATTCATAACCTATATTTCAAATACTTACTTTTATTATCGTAAACTATAAGTCCATCATTCTCGCCTCTGCTCACTTGTTGATTCTCGTCAACTATTAAACAATGGCGATTTTTTTCAAGGACAAAATTATGGTCCATAACGGTTTTATATTTATAAATTATTTAAATATACCGAAAATTCGTTACACTAATTGAATTATTTTTCCCGCACTATACCTTGGTAACTATTATAACCTCTCGATTTTGGGAGGTCATAAAGTTACCTCTGTGGTCAACCAAATAAGTGTTTTGGAACGGTAATGTAGGGTTACTATAGACTAACCGCGTAGTCGTACCGAGGGTTTTGGAACGACCTATGGTAACCAAGGTGGGATTTTGGAACGCACCCCTAATAGTTTAGTACATGAATCTGTAGTTGAAAACATATCTGAAGATAATGTCGAGGAAAATTTGTGCTTCCACTTGAGAAATTGGACTGTGCAACATAAAACTCCTCAAATTGCCCTTAATCACCTATTACAAATTCTATGTCCTTTCCATTCAAATTTGCCATTAGATAGCCGTATTCTACTAAATACTAATTTACATATGCCAAGTAAGCAGTTAAAAAATGGTGAATTATGTTATATAGGTTTGAGACAGTCATTGAAACAATTCGTTTCTCGATGTACACCATTACAGTTACGAAACAATGAAGTAAATATTAGCTTTAACATAGATGGACTTCCTCTTTTTAAAAGTTCAAATACTCAGTTATGGCCTATTTTAGGCTTAATAAAAAATTGTCCTGAAGAAAAACCTTTCGTCATAGCTATTTACTGTGGTAATTCTAAACCTTCATCGCTTAATATTTTCTTAGAAGACTTTATAAACGAACTGTCTCAATTACTGCAGGAGGGATTTTTATTTGAAAATAAGTTGTATACTGTGAAAGTTCATAGTTTTATTTGTGATGCTCCAGCTAAAGCTTACATAAAATGTACAAAGTCACATAACGGTTATTCATCTTGTGATAAATGTTTTGAAGCAGGAGAGTATGTTCAACGTAGAATTATCTATAGAAGTGTTATAGCTCAAAGAAGAACAGATTCGAATTTCCGATTATTTATTGATGAAGATCATCATACTAGTGTTTCTCCCTTATCAACACTGCCAATTGATTTAATCAAAACTTTTCCTATTGATTACATGCACGCAGTGTGTTTAGTTGTAATGAAAAAGCTTCTGAATACTTAGATAAGTGGTGATTTAAAAATACGTTTATCCGGTCAATTAATTAATGTTTTATCTGAGAGATTAATGAGTTATAGATCATACATTGTTATCAAGTTTAATAGAAAACCTCGAAGTTTAGCCGAACTTGCCCGCTGGAAAGCTACAGAACTCAGAATGTTTCTACTTTATTTAAGTCCTTTAGGTTTGAAAGGTATTTTACCTAATGCACTTTATGAAAATTTTTTATTATTTCATTGCAGTATTGTTTTGTTATGTTCTAAGAAACATATTGATAAGTTAGGCGTTCAATTAGCTGGTGAGCTTTTAGTTATGTTCATAAAACACTGAAAAAATTTATGGCTCTCATTTTCTCATTTACAACGTTCATATATTGTGTCATTTAAATGATGATGTTGAAAAATTTGGACCGTTAGATAACTATTCAGCGTTCCCTTTTGAAAACTATCTGCAGACTTTAAAAAAGTTAGTTAGATCTTCCCATAAACCATTGCAGCAAATTATTAGACGTTTAAAAGAAATAGATTGCAATCAAAACGTGTTGCACCAAGAAATTCAAGATGTTCCTTTACTTCTTTTAGAACATAATTCAGGGCCATTTCCTGCTAACGTTATTTTTCAATATAAAATGTATCGAAAAATTAAATATAAAAATGTTATTTTCTATGTGTGGCAATATCGTAATGCAGATTGTTATTGTTATACCAAAGAAGGAAAAGTAATAAAAATTTATAATATATTATTTAGATGCCATGATAATATTCTATTGTTCTATAAAAGACAATTTTTATCTTATGTTTCATATTATGAATATCCCTATGATTCAAAAATTTTAGATATATTTCGTATAAAAGATGTGTCGAATGAATTTGTGACAGTTCCGTTTGAAGATGTCATAGCAAAATGTCTACTTCTTCCTGACGAAAATAATTCTTGGATTTCTTTTCCTTTAATCCATTCAGTTAAATAAACACAATTTTTTCTATTATTTTTTATTAAATTAAATTTTTATTAAATTTTATTAAATTAAATGAAGTTTATCAACCACAAGAAAAGGATTATTAGTTGCATGTGACATTTAATTGATAAAAAGGTTTAAAATATTATATTAATTATAATATAATTATAATATAATATAATATAATATAATATAATATAATATAATTATAATATAATATTATATTAATAAATATTATATTAAAATATTATTTTTGTTTAGTAAACGTTACTTAATTAGTGACATTTATAAAAAGAAAATTTATTTATTCAAATGAATAGATATCTCGATGTCTGCCAAAGAACTAAATATGTATTTTTTATGTTCATATAATTATATTTCTTTTTATATAGTTTTAGACAAATAGGGTAATATATAAATAGTCTAAGATATAGAATAATTAGGCTATATAGAATAAATACCCAGATAGCATAGACAGTTCAACAAGAATTCTTTTTGAAAAAATGACTATATTTTATGTAAAAGAATAAATATTATTTGTGATTAAAAAACACAAGATCTTATAAATGAAAAAAATTGCTATATCTCTAAAATGTGTACAAAATTTTCCTTATATATTGGTTGCATTCATCATAACTTAGTGCTTAGTAAGCGATTAATAATTATTGTAAGAAGATAAACTATAATATCTTATATATATTTTTAAGAAAAAGGACTTTGTACATATACAACGATTTACCTGTCATAAATCATTGTGTGTGTTTAATGTTATAGAAGATATTATATTTGCCTTATTGCAATAATCATGAATTACTTACTAAATGATAGGTTCTCCTGAACGTCAACATTAGTCCTTCCTTTGTCGTCGGTAAAGGCCCATTTAAGCTGGGGACACACACTTTCCGTAACCGTAACTTTAAATGTAACGTAGGAGTCTGCAAAACACATAATGTTTCCGTAACGCAGCGTTGCCACGCAACCACGGCGGACCTTTGACTTCATTTAAGTAAAGTAAAATACCCGCAATATATAACCAATACTGCAGAATTACGTTATAAAGGTAATATTGTTATTATATATTATCTTTGGGTATGTATAAATATATGCATTAAATACTCTATTACAAATCGACATAATTGGAATAATAAAGAAACACACATAAACTGATTAAATGAAATATTTCATCTTTCAGTAAAGGAAAGATTAAATAGAATTCGTTGTTAATAGATGGAAGTAATAAAATTATTTAATATTTATTATTGGATGTATGAGTACATTGTACATAGAAGAAATTATGCTAAACGTTGGATTAATCGGAGATGGTGGGTTAGAAGTATCAACAAAAACCGTAACCAGCAAGGAGATTTTAATGCTCTATTTCAAGAGCTAAAAGATGACACGGAAATGTTTTTTCGGTATACTCGAATGAGTGTTGACGTTTTTTATTTATTGTTGAAATTAGTTGAACATTTTTGAGGAAAGAAAATTGGAGAGCTTTATGCCCAGAACAACGATTGTCTCTGACTTTGAGATAAATCATATGTATTCAATAACGTATATTTTTTAAAATTGCATTGATAATAGGTTCGTTTATGTTATTTGCACAGAATATACCAGAAGTGTGCATTATTTTGTAGAATAGATTGTATCTATTGTATCTATCTTTATACACTATTTGTAGAATAGTGTATAAAGAGTATAAAAGTGTGTATAGTGTATTGTAGTGTATAAAAGAACTGAAACTAAAAATGTAGAGTGGTAACTTGAATGCTTTAGTTCGCTTTAGTTTGTACTTACAACTACCGCAGGCCAAATATGGAGCATGTATTATTTTTTTTAGCTGATCAATATATACGATACAAAGCACGATAAACTGAGTAATGTTTGTCATAATTACAGATTTCTGGCTACTGGTGACCAACTGCTTTCTATCGCTTTTGCATATAGAATCGGAGCATCAACAGCATCTTCGGTCATTAAGCATACTTGTACCATATTAAACAAAGTATTGATCCCATTATATCTGACCCCTCCAACGTCAGAAAAATGGAAAGAAATAGCCACAGGTTTTCTTGAACATTGGAATATTCCAAATTGTGTTGGATCGTTCGATGGAAAACACATAAACATCCAAGCTCCACCAAATTCTGGAAGTGTATTCTATTTCAACTATAAAAAAACTTTCAGCATTGTCCTAATGGCTGCTTGCGATTCCAATTATAAATTTACTCTTATTGACGTTGGTGCTAATGGCAGTATTAGCGATAGGAGCATATTTGCTTCATCCGAAATAGGCCAAGCAGTTAAAAATGAAACATTAAACATACCACGAGGACAGATACAACTTCCTGGTAGTAATCAATCAACGCCATATTTTTTTATCGGTGATCAAGCTTTCCCACTAATTTTAAAAATTTTATGAGGCCCTACGCTGGACGGAAATTGGTAGAGAAAAAGCAATTATTTAATTATAGATTATCTCGTGGTAGAAGAACGATAGAGAACGCATTCGGAATACTTTCTGCACGTTGGAGAATTTTACGTCGAACAATTTGTTTAGATGTAAAAGCTGTTGACCAGATTGTAATTAGTACTATATGTCTTCATAATTTTTTAAAGACAGATGATGAAAAACATATGCCAGAAAAACGTATATACTGTCCATCACATTTCATCGATTCAGAATTAGAAGACGGTCTAGTAATTGAAGGAACTTGGAGGAATGAACAGGTACAAACACAACGGTTACGACCTACTGGTGCACATCGAGCGAACACAAACGCAATGGAACTACGCGATATTTTATCAGATTACTTTGTAACCCCAGTTGGAGAGATTCCATGGCAATACGATTACATTAGAAGAGGAACAAACCGAGAATAAAAAAGAGATGATATGTTTCTGTATAAAATATTTAATGATCATACATATTTTCATACATTATATATAATATATATCATATTTAATTTTGTTAATCAAATCTCATATAACGTACATAAAAATTTCTAAAATTAAATAAAATATATTTATATATTTCAAAAACTAAATATTTATTTTGTTGAACGAATCTGTAGAATACATAAAACACTTATGATGTAAATATAATTTGTGTAATTTATTCCATTTTTTGTTTCTTATCCATTTCAGGCAATTTTCCCAATTCACAAGAAATCCATTTTCCAAATAACTCTACATCGCTTGCATTTGATGTTGTATCTTGGGAATTTCTGAGATATGAACTTAATCCCGATGATACTTTCAAAAAATTTGCTTCAACAGCGTCAGAGCGTTTTTTTCTTTGGGTCCATCCGGGCAAAAAATGATTCTTCTCTTCTTGTTACATATTCTCTGCTACAATACAAGATTAAATTAGACTATAAAAAATATTATATCGCTTCCAGTATATTAAAAATAGATTACTTACATTTTCTTTTAGGTATCGAAATGTTTTGTTCTGATGTTTGTGAAGATATCTCTGGATTTGTTGGTTTTTCACATTTAGAGGATTGAGGAGTCAGAATAGATTGTGGAGATGTCAAAGAAATAGTTAAATTGTGACCATTTCCGTCACTAGGTGATGGTGTTGAGCTATGTATTATATGAAATGCAGAATTCTTCGGCAGTGGAGAATTTAGAAAAATTGGTGATTGTTGATGAGTATATATTTGAGGTGGTGGGGTATTTCGGGAACTTGCAGGCAACACTGAAGAGAATAGCATGCTATCAGAATTTGATGGTGACTAGGAAGGTGATAATGATACTGATATTGGAGATTAAGGATTTTGAGTACTTGAAATACAAGACGATACTGGGTGTGCTTTAATCACCGGTCGTTGTGTAGCGGACTGTAAGTTTGTATAGGTTCTAAAACATTGAAGAACAAAAATACTTTCATGAATACTTGTTATATTTTTTAGCTACATTACTTACTTTCTTGACTGAACATGTTTCGAAAGAAACATCATATTTTGATACAAAGCCCATTCTTTTCTTCCTGTAATACTTCCACTACCACTCTTTGTTTCTGCATCCCGTAACTTTCGCTCTTTTGCAAATTTTTCTCTCAAGCGTAACCATCGCCTCTGACAATCTTCCACTTAAATAATTTTACGTATTTATTTTCGTAAATATATTTTAGTTGCGATTTATATAATTACACATACCTGAACAATTTAGAACGGATGCTATTTCTTCCATGAGCGTTCACGTACATTTTTTTTAAATCTTCAAGTTCTTTCATAAAGATAAAAAATGTTAATAAATCTCATATAACGTACATAAAAATTTCTAAAATTAAATAAATATATTTATATATTTCAAAAACTAAATATTTATTTTGTTGAACGAATCTGTAGAATACATAAAACACTTATGATGTAAATATAATTTGTGTAATTTATTCCATTTTTTGTTTCTTATCCATTTCAGGCAATTTTCCCAATTCACAAGAAATCCATTTTCCAAATAACTCTACATCGCTTGCATTTGATGTTGTATCTTGGGAATTTCTGAGATATGAACTTAATCCCGATGATACTTTCAAAAAATTTGCTTCAACAGCGTCAGAGCGTTTTTTTCTTTGGGTCCATCCGGGCAAAAAATGATTCTTCTCTTCTTGTTACATATTCTCTGCTACAATACAAGATTAAATTAGACTATAAAAAATATTATATCGCTTCCAGTATATTAAAAATAGATTACTTACATTTTCTTTTAGGTATCGAAATGTTTTGTTCTGATGTTTGTGAAGATATCTCTGGATTTGTTGGTTTTTCACATTTAGAGGATTGAGGAGTCAGAATAGATTGTGGAGATGTCAAAGAAATAGTTAAATTGTGACCATTTCCGTCACTAGGTGATGGTGTTGAGCTATGTATTATATGAAATGCAGAATTCTTCGGCAGTGGAGAATTTAGAAAAATTGGTGATTGTTGATGAGTATATATTTGAGGTGGTGGGGTATTTCGGGAACTTGCAGGCAACACTGAAGAGAATAGCATGCTATCAGAATTTGATGGTGACTAGGAAGGTGATAATGATACTGATATTGGAGATTAAGGATTTTGAGTACTTGAAATACAAGACGATACTGGGTGTGCTTTAATCACCGGTCGTTGTGTAGCGGACTGTAAGTTTGTATAGGTTCTAAAACATTGAAGAACAAAAATACTTTCATGAATACTTGTTATATTTTTTAGCTACATTACTTACTTTCTTGACTGAACATGTTTCGAAAGAAACATCATATTTTGATACAAAGCCCATTCTTTTCTTCCTGTAATACTTCCACTACCACTCTTTGTTTCTGCATCCCGTAACTTTCGCTCTTTTGCAAATTTTTCTCTCAAGCGTAACCATCGCCTCTGACAATCTTCCACTTAAATAATTTTACGTATTTATTTTCGTAAATATATTTTAGTTGCGAATTTATATAATTACACATACCTGAACAATTTAGAACGGATGCTATTTCTTCCCATGAGCGTTCACGTACATTTTTATCTTTAAAATCTTTCAAGTTCTTTGCATAAAGATGAGGATAACCTCTCACGATGTCGATGAAAGTAGCATCGGCTTCAGTATTCAATTCGGTCGTATGTATCGAATTGAATACTAAATCCGATGCTACTTCCATCACACTTATATCTTGTATATCTTCGGAGTCTGTATACATTTTGTGGCAATACAAATGATCCATACACTTATCTCAGAATGCTTTCTTGATCGCGCCGGACTGTGACGTCAGACAACCTCGTTGACTGTGACGTCAGACAACGTCAATCTGATTGGCTATCCGTAAGAAACATACCATAGAATTCCAACATGCTGAAATTTTTCGACCACTACGTTATGGTTACGGTTACGGTTACGGACTGCCGAATCGAGCAACGCGATTAGTCGAAACCTTACGGTTACGATTACGGAAAGTGTGTGTCCCCAGCTTTATGAAGGACGTAACCGTTAACTTACGCTGTAATCTGTAAGAAATTGACCAATCGCAGTCGATTATTACAAGAATAATCGACTTCGATTGATAAATTTTACAGCATAAGTTAACGGTTACGGCCTCCATAAATAAACCTTTAGACGTTTGAAAATGCCGTTAATAACACGTCACAAAATGCCGTCAATAAGACGTCAGAAAATGCCGTCAATAAGACGTCAGAAAATGACATCAGTACGACATCAAAATATGACGTCCTGAGGATGTGACATTTTGACGTCATTTTCGGGTCTTACAGGACCAAATTTATGACGTCTAATTGGTCTTCTTCTGACCAAAATCGGACGTCATTATGACGTCACTTTGCTACTTGCTACTTTGCTATTTGCTATAATAAGGAAGACAAATGACTCAAAAGCTAGAAATCTCGGTTAAAGTCCTACAGTGATAAAAAAAAGAATAAAAAAATTTTTTTAATCTTATGAACTGAAATGTAAAATTGCAATATATATGTAAATTTTTATTATAAGACATAGTAATTTTTATTATAGGACAGTAATTTTCACTGTAAGACATAATTTTTTTGATCAATCACAGTCAATTATTAGAAAAATCGATTGTGATTGGTCAATTTTTAAGGCTTAAGGCTTAAAACTTAAAGCGAGATTGTAAGCCAGGGCTTAGAGTAGGAATTAAAGATTGAGGATTGTGGATTGAAGATTAAATTTCGACGAATCAATGAATTTCGGTCTTGCTTTGCTTTATTCCAATTAATTAAGTTCCAATCTTTAATCCTCAATCCACAATCTCTAATCCCTAGTCTATTTTGGGATTTAAGGACCGTCTGCAATGGCCATAAAAGAATGGCTATAAAGAGGATAGCACACAAACGAATTTAAGCAATAAAACGTAAGCAGTAAGAAAATCGATCAATCACAGTCGAAACTTAAGGAAGCCATTTTAAAACTTAAGAGAATAATTGACTGTGATTGGTCAGTTTATTTACTGCTTACGTCTTATTGCTTTTTACGATCTAAAAAAAATCTATCGTGATTGGGTAATTTTTTTCCTACTTACGTTTTATTACTTATGTTTTTCTGTGTGTCATGGCCCTAATTGGCTGTGATTGATCAGTTGCTTACAACAACTTAAGTTTGAAGCTTAAATTTTGATCTATTCGGTGATTTATGCCTTAAGCCTTAAAAATTGACCAATCATAGTCGATTTTTCTTGTAATAATCGACTATGATTGGTCAGTTTTTAAGGATTAAGGCTTAAATCACCGAATATAGACTAGGGGTAAAGCGAGGTGGTAGACTGAAACTTAAAGCTTGTCTACAACAACTGTAAGAATATTGCTGTAAGTCTGTAAGCTGTCGGCGAATGAAAATAATTTATTTCGCGTTTTATAGCCTTATAGCTATATTCTTACAATCATTGTAGATAATTGTAGGGCCTTTATAGTGTGTTCGATTGAGACGAGTTTGGAAAGTTCAAGGGCTTCTTGAAAATATATCGCATACGATATTTCATAAAAAACATATAGTTTATGTTAAGTTTACTACAGCTTTTTACTAAATATCGTATACAATATATTTTCGAGAATTAAGTTCCAGGAGAAGTTTATGAAAAAATATATCAATCAAATACAAGAGCTCAATGATTGGTTCTGGATACACCTATTATATAATGGTAAACATATGTTTGTTGGGTAGTTTTCCAGATAGCACGGTGACATCAAATGATGTTTTAATGATGTTTTTGTGATCAATAAGGTGTCATTAAGGTGTCACCGTCCTACTTGGGTGTTAGCGCTCAAATATACTTCAAAAATATCCTTTAGAGATGCGTTCCGAATCGCCTCAGTTGATCATGCTATAATCTATGATTTTGTTGTGTGAATTACATATCAAGATGCAAGACAATATATATGTTATTTATAAAAAATGATATTATCTATTTCAGGATATGTTGCAGATTCAAAAATTTGCACTCTTTTTGAGGTGCAGAAAGTAATTCAGGAGTGGCTGCGGCATTCAACCGACCGAATTGGATACGCATTAAAAAATAAATAATATATATATATATTTGTATTTAATTGTGTTAATTTATGTTTAATTTGTGTTTAATTTGTGTTAATAAATATCATGTATTGCATGTTACGTATTATATTAAATAAAATCACATTTTATTAAATAAAATTAAATTTTATTATATAAAATTACGATTATTTATTAAAATTACAGTTACCTATATTACCGACTATTAGATTATGAATGTCTTAAAATTGTCTTAAATAAAACGTCGTTTAGACGTCTTAAATTAATGTCTAAAAGCCGTCTTAAATTAATGTCTTAAAGACGTCTTAAAATAATGTCTAAAAGGCATAAAACATCTTAAAGATGTCATAAAGGCGTCATTCTGACAACTTTTTAAGACGTCTAAAAAATTTTAAGACGTCTTTTAGACGTCATATTGTTGTGTAGGATATCTTTATTTTTTATGATATGTTATTTACGGCCTGATTGCAAAATCTGGCTTTGTGAGCTCGGGAATAGTTTCGGCGCGCGCGCCTTCACTCGCGCGTACCTAATCCGTGATTAGTAATCATAAGTATGTCTTTTAAGACGCTCATACGGTTCTGTTGTGATTAGTTTACGATATTTTAAGACTGTGCTTAAGACAATTTTAAATAATAAGAATCAATTATGAATATATACGGGATTTGACCTACTTTCGTATTTGTATTGCTTAAATAATAAAAAGTTAATAAAATAAGTACTGCCTTTATTTCTTACGTAATAAATGAATAAAATATTTCTGGTTGCACAATATTATCTAAAAATAAAGACAAATGTAAACAGTAATATGTTTTGCGAGCTGTGAGTGTTCTATTATTTCAAATATTGCACAATTACGTGATAATTAAATAGTATCATTAAACTTAAAGATTAATTTATTGATCAAGCGTATATATAGGAGTATAGATATTTGTAACAGTGATTAAAAGTAAAATATTTGAATTAACATCTTTTAAGAGCTCTCTTTTTATTTTTTATAATAGAAAATACAAAGAACTTATTTAAAATTCAAATTGTGTAATATACTCACGTCACGGTCTACATTTACTTATTATTGCTTATACGCGTTAGCCTTTCAATACGTACTTTCCTTACATGTTTTAATTATTGCGAGGAATATTGCTATAGCCTCAATGGTCAAGTTGGTTAAGAAAATAAATCATTGAGGCTATAGCAATATTCCTCGCAATAATTAAAACATGTAAGGAAAGTACGTATTGAAAGGCTAACGCGTATAAGCAATAATAAGTAAATGTAGACGTGACGTGAGTATATTATACAATTTGAATTTTAAATAAGTTCTTTGTATTTTCTATTATAAAAAATAAAAAGAGAGCTCTTAAAAGACGTTAATTCAAATATTTTACTTTTAATCACTGTTACAAATATCTATACTCCTATATATACGCTTGATCAATAAATTAATCTTTAAGTTTAATGATACTATTTAATTATCACGTAATTGTGCAATATTTGAAATAATAGAACGCTCACAGCTCGCAAAACATATTACTGTTTACATTTATCTTTATTTTTAGATAATATTGTGCAACCAGAAAATATTTTATTCATTTATTACGTAAGAAATAAAGGCAGTACTTATTTTATTAACTTTTTATTATTTAAGTAATACAAATACGAAAGTAGGTCAAATCCCGGTATTATTCATAATTGATTCTTATTATTTAAAATTGTCTTAAGCACAGTCTTAAAATATCGTAAACTAATCACAACAGAACCGTATAAGCGTCTTAAAAGACACTACTTATGATTACTAATCACAGATTAGGTACGCGCGAGTGAAGCGCGCGCGCCGGCCCTGAGCGCTATATAGACAAGAGCGCTTATTCGTTAAATTTAACACGCTCTCCTGCAAAAACTACTTGTTGGACGCAATTTTGTTAAAGAAAAAAGTTGTTTTTTTTTTTAGCATAAAGTATCATGTCCTGTGCTCCGAATGCGGGAATTTCGGATCACTCAGTATTTACTCTTATATACTTCTGTATACTCATATACTTTTATATATTTTTATACATCTTTATATACAGTTATACTTTCATATATATATATATGTCTTTCATATACAGGGTGGTTGATTATAAGATGCCAACCCGAAATGTGAAGGTAGATTGGGTTAAAATAAACATAAAGTCCCATACCGTTTTGCGAGATTCGCAATAATTATCGAGTTATTAATGACAGAAATCTGAGGAATGGGAGCGCGCCAACATAGATAATTGGAGAAGCGTTGCAGCTGCTTAGGCCGCAGCACGGCCCAGTTGATCCAGAAACTGTTGCCGGTGCACGGCGAGGGGAAAGACAATGTGCTGCTATTCGTTGTTTTATCTCGCCGAACCTACGTCTCGCCGCACCCCGCCAACAGTTGCTAGGTCGTGTGGGCCGTGCTGTGGCCTGAGTAGCTGCAACGCTTCTCCAATCATCTATGTCGGCGCGCTCCCATTCCTCAGATTTCTGTCATTAATAACTCGATAATTATTGCGAATCTCGCAAAACGGTATGGGACTTTTATGTTTATCTTAACCCAATCTACTTTCACATTTCGGGTTGGCAACTTATAATTAACCACCCTGTATATATGAACATATACAGGGTGCACGATTTATCTGAAGACATTGAAATATTTCGAGAACTATGCATTGGATAAAAAAAAGTGGTTGATGAAAGTTGTTAGTCTCGAAGGGGGACATCCAATGATACCAAACTCGACCTCCCACCCCACCCCCTGGGGGTGGGGGTTGGGGGCAACTTTGAAATCTTAAATGAAAACCCCCATTTTTTATTGCAGATACGGATTCTACGCCACAAAATACGTAAATTTTGTCCGAAACTTTTTTTTTTATTCGTAATAGATGGCGCGGTAATCGCAAAAAATTATATTTTCCGCAATTCTCCAGAAATGATCATTGGATTGAGAAATAAAAAATACCTGTTCAATATTTTTAAAAAACATAATAAAAGTTATTCGCCCCCCCATCCTCTCGGGGTAGGGTGGGTGATAACGTTCAAATCTCAAATGGGGACCCACATTTTTCATTGCAGAATTAGATTGTACGTGAAATTTTTATTGAAACAATTTTTTTCATTCGTGATAGATAGCGTTGAATTTTTCCGAGAAACTACTTTTAGCGTTACACAGGAACAACGACGAGGACGTAGTAGTTTTATGTTCCCTTCGGGTGCTTTTTTAATGTGAGTCCCCTTGCCTCTCACAGATCGGGGTGCTTTTTTAATGTGAGTCCCCTTGCCTCTCACTGTTCAATTAATTAGAGTAAGTGTTCGAAATTTTTACCTTCAACTTCAATACACTTATTGATCCTTTTTTCAAATGACTGTA